TGGAATAGTAACCCTGATATAAAGTTGTATTTTTTTAAATGGTACACCCCGTATATTATTTTTTCATTGCATAGCTCTTTTCGAGCTATTTCAATGATATAAGGTTTTATAGCTTTACATTAGTTATTCCACGACTTACCTCTTTTTACCTCATTGTTTCTTATGGAGAAACGGAATTTATTTTTTTCCTCAAAAACTATTGAAGGTAAAGCTATAAAACTTTATATCATTGAAATCAGCTAAAAAGAGCTATGCAATGGAAAAATAATACATGGGGTATCCCATTTAAAAAAAAAAACAACTTTACATCAGGGTTACTATTCCAAAATCGGTGGCATCTCGAAAAAAAAAAATTCTACTTGAAAAACAATTTGGCCGTGAGTTGTCTTCCCCATTGTTATTTTCTCAGAAAAAAAAACACAACTTTGGTTAATATTCTAAAATCGAAGGCATCTGGAAAAAAAAATTGTCATGCCACTGGATGCTACTTGTAAAACTGCTTGTAGAAAGTATTTTTGGTTTTTGAATATCTTGATTAATAGAAAACTTTGAAACTCTTTTAAAATTGGACAAAATTTTGAAAGTGTCCTGTATTTCCTAAACACATATCAAGTTAGCTTTGATTTGTCCTCGCTTCGCAATTGTTATTTTCTTAGAAAAGAGCTCCAGAATGTGCTCCCACATTTTTGATATCTCTGCACTGCTGGTTTTCTATATAGCCTATTAAAACATCGAAAATGGGTCACCCTGTAGATACCTATCTATAAACTTATGAATGAAAAACTGAAATTAAGATTATAAAAATTCAAAAGATAGTGAGAAAAAATCGAATGAAATATATTCCGCAATCATATTTGTAATCCCCGAAATCACTTTGCAATCCCAAAAATCACCTCGCAATCTCAAAAATTAGTTCGCAATCCCCCTGCAGTCACTGAAATCGCCTCGCAATCCTCCGAAATTGCAAATTTTTTAGAAAAATTGTCTGAAATCGCTGCAATCATTTGGAAATCATAGGATTTCCGCAATAGGGAACTTGCAAGTGAAGTAAAATTTTCCAAATTTGTTTTAAATCGATAGTTTATGCTGCACAATATTCATATGACCAGTTTTTATTTAACTGATACCGCCCTTGTTACACAAAAAATAATATTAAATTTGAAATAAAAATTTTCCCGCCAAAAAAATGCTCCTATGATGAATACCTGTTTTGACGTCACGATTCTGTAAACAAACCCGTCAATAGGGAAATCTGTGATAGGGAATTTGCACGTAAAAAAAATACAAAAGCAGTCCTTCACAATATTCTTCATCCATTACGACAATTTTCACAAAAAGCAAACTTTAACACACTTGAATAACACAAAAATAGCACTGCGTAAGCAAGAGTTCGTTTGCTGCGTATTTTACGTTTACAAAATCTCAACGTCACAAGCGCTGTCAAATTGAAATTTCGTGTTTTCGCGCCAAAGTATTTCATTTGAATTTCAATAAAAAATTTTTCGTACAACGTATAAATTAAAATGGAAAAAAAGAAAATTATGTGATAACTGATGATTAGAAGTATCTAAAAAAAAATAATTTGAGAAATATGAAAATTCCCTATACATGTACATATTTTTCGGGAGTGGTCGCCCCCTCGTAAATTCCTCACAAATTCCTCCAAATTTACTGAAAATTTCTCTAAATCTCCCATAAATTTCTTCAAATTCCCTATACCTAGATTCCCAACATATTTGGCAAAGAATTCCTAGGTGGTTTGCCCTTTGGAAAATACAGTCTCACACAATTCAAAGTTTTCCTAGAAAACTAATTGAGGGAAAAATTAAAATATTTTGCATGTGAAGGGAAGGTTAGGAGGTCATTTTCCCAAAATTTCAATTTTTTCCAGGGGAAAATAAGAACAGGAAAAAACTTGGAAATCAAATAAAAAGTGAATTAATTGAAAATACAATTTCACACATTTTAAAGTTTTCCTGGAAAACTAATTAAGGAAAAATGTTGAAACTTTTTGAATGTAAAGAGGAAGGTTAGGAGCTCATTTTCAAATAATTTCAATTTTTTCCAGTGGAAAATAACAACATGAAGAATTTTGGAAATCAGCCTACAAAAACTGAATTATTTGATAATACAGTTTCACACATTTCAAAGTTTTCCTGGAAAACTAGTGAAGGTAAAAATTTGAAGCTTTTTGCATGTCAAGAAGAAAACTAGGAGATCATTTTCCCAAAATTTCAAATATTTTCCGGTGGAAAATAACAACATGAAGAATCTTGGAAATCAGCTTACAAAAACTAAATTAATTAAAAATATCATAGAAAAATATAGTCACACACTCGGTCACACATTTCAAAAGTTTTCCCGGAAGACTGATAAAGAGAAAAATTTGAAACTTTTTGCATGTGAAAAGGAAAGTTAGGAGCTCATTTTCACAAAATTTCAAATTTTTCCAGTAGAAAATATCGGGTCTTCAAAAAAAAAACCAATCGAAGATTGCTTTGATTATGAAAACGTATGTCGCATTATTGTTTCTTTATTGGTCAGGTTTTTTGACATGACATTTTGACATTAAAGTTCATTGACAAAATTGAAGGAAAATTATGCTAAGACATACATTTAAAAAACCATAGCAATCTTTGATTGGTTTTTTTTTTGAAGACCCGATAACAACATGAAGCTTGACTTCTATAGTTTATGAGATGTGGTTATACATAAACATTGTTTCATGAGGATTCATACTTTTTGCCTTCCTTTTTTAATAAATAGAAATTGACTGAAATAAATCAATGATGTCAAAAACGTTCGTCATTTCTTGAACCAGTCATTCATTTTAATTTGTCAAAAAAAATTATTGTGTCTTATGAATTAATGGGGCACTTTCCAAAATTCACCGGTTTCTGAACCGGTGCGATACCGGTTTAATAGTTTACTCACCAAACCGTTCCAAAATTGACCGGAATAATCAGCGGTTTGAAACCGGTGAGGCACCGAATCCACCGGGAATTTTTGTTGGTTTTTTCGGTTGAGGATTTTTTGACACTTTTTTTTTGACGTACATTAATTTAATTGCTTTGAATGGGCACTATTGGCAGTCTATCGTTAAATTGCTGCTTGTAGATTGCAGAATAAAAAAATGTTTGTGCGTGGGCTCAAACTATTTTTTCTTCATTCATTATGAACTCGACAAACCAAACACTCAGCTCACGTAATCTACAAAAATCGTACTGAAAACTACCGTTTGTTGACTGTTAAAAATAATAAAGATGCATACCAACCTCACTGCGTCCCACAAAAAACCCATTCCAAACAACAATAAGCAACACCACCAAACTTTCACGCCAAAGCGTTCCAAAATGCATCAGAAAAATCTTGTAACCGGACTTGCGTGTAACTTTTACCGGAATTTTTTGACAGCTACCGGTTTATTTAACCGGTCAATTTACTGGTGAATTTTGGAAAGTGCCCATATAGGACAACCCTTTTTTTCAACTTATGACTTGTTCAATGTTAAAAGTATAAAGTATAAACTCACGTAAAATGATCTGTAAATTTATTTTGTTAGCAGTTAGGTATTTTTATTCACAAAACACTGAAGAGGAACCAAACAATATTCGAAACACAAAAATTCTCAAGATTTATGGTGAAAATTTCCTAATTTCCTATAATAATTTCAGTAAATTTTCTATAATTTCGAATAATTTCCTAACAGTTCCTGACATTTCCCAAAATTTTCAAATATTTCCTATAATTTCTGAGAATTAACATAATTTGTGACAATTTACAGGAAATATCTGTAATTTCTCAACATTTCCGGAAATTATTTTGAGATTTGTACACCTATTTCCGACCGTGGGACACCCCTCGGAAAAGACTGAAGCTTTACAGCTGCAAAACTATTGAAGCTGAATAAATAAATGATACCTAGATCCTCGCCTAGATCACAACAAACGAGAAAGGGATATTTATATAATAAAGGGATTAAAGGGAAGAAACAATCTATAACAATTTTTTCAACCACTAAAAATAATTTTAACCCCTGGATTTGTCTCAATTTTTTTTGGTGTATGGAAAAGAGCACAATTCGCATTAACACCAGCACAATTGAGTACAAAACGAGCACATTTGAATAAGCCAGCAAATTCTTTGGAAGCACTCTCACTCTCAGACATAAACTTGCGATAGTTTGAGTTGCTCGTGTAATCATACGTAAACTACGCTTAAGAATGTTTGATTTGCTTTACTAACCTAACAAGTCCGGCACTAACAACCCCTCCAACAAGTTCACTAAATCACTTTTATTCATTATTAATAAAATTCAGAGCTTGGTTCTCGACTTTATGGGGGTTTTATTAATTTTTTTAAAAAATATCACAACAAAATTCAAAAACAAAACAACTCTCCCTACATAACCTTATATGTTTTGAGTTTTGAAACCCCGGAAAAAAAAAGAAGAGGAATCCACAGGTCTGTTCACTCAGTTCATTGGTGGCTTCTCAAAACCGGACCTCTCATACCGAGCAAGGTTCTTCAATCTTACTCCGTGCACGCTGCACTTACTCCTTGGCACTCCAATCGTTCGGGCAAGGGCAAGACTTTTTACTTTTTAGCGTAAATGGAGTAGTTAGTAGTAGTCCGAACCGACCCCGGAACCAGTTTGGAAATAGTTCAGCTAGAACAGACCGAACTAGTTCAAACTCGACCCGGAACCGATTCTAGTTGTCCTAATTTCTTACCGCGAACGAAGCTAGAGTAATAATTGATAATAAAAGATTTTTTAAGTAAATTTTAATACTTATATATTTCCACAATTTTGTGGAAATATATAAGTATTAAAATTTACTTAAAAAATCTTTTATTAGATAATGGATTTCCACCAAGTAAAAGCCGATTCAATCAAAATAATAATTGATATCCAAAAGCCATAAGAAAAAGAAGAGCTAATTGCCAAATTACGTTACGTCACAGAAAAGAAAAGTCAAATCAGAGGAAAAGTGTTTGACGTTTAGTAGTGGGGGATTCAGAATTCAGCATCATATTTTGGGGTACAGAGCTTTTTGAAAAAAAAGCAAAATTTACAAAATTTCAAATAAATGGGTTTGTAAAATCAGTGTAGCCGAAATATAAGCATATTAAACAATGGATTGGGTCATATCCGATGAACTGTCTTTGACGGTGGGGCATGTCGTCGGCTGGGTAAGTGCAGGGGCCATGATAGTTGGAGGAGTCGTCCCGTATATACCCCAATATCGGCAAATCAAGAGGACGAAAGACGCCGAAGGATTTTCGTTGCTGGTCTGCTTGGCTCTACTTATAGCAAATACTTTAAGAATTTTATTTTGGTAAGTCAGGCACTATAGATTTTCTGTTTTTAATTAGTTACCTAATATACTTTTTCTTCAAGGTTTGGCAAGCATTTCGAATATCCACTATTGATGCAAAGCTTGATAATGAATGCCACAATGTTTGGAATGATTCATTTGTGTGTAAGAACTAGAAATAAGAATCAATTACTTCAGGCGAGGCAGCGGATATTCACAGGTATAATTTTTTGATTTAAGCAAATTATTTGCAATACGTTCAATATCTTTACAAATAATACAGTGGCATTTTGATAAAATAGGCTGACCTTTGATGATATTTTTGGTAAAGGTGAGGCGAAAAGGTCATTTGTCACTCTATTAAGCTTGCTTCCAGTTCAATATGACGAACATGGAGATACCGCAAATCACTAGGTCTGTGCAGCCACTAGTTGCAGAGGACCCCTATCATCCTGCACTTGAATTTGGAGTTCCAACGAAGGATAAGTTGGTAAATTGTATATCCAAACAGTATGTATATGATTTCCCAAAAGGGGATTTTCTACTTCTATACAATCTTGTGAAAACCTGTGATTGGACTGAAGTACTTTCAATTACAGATGTAAATATGAGTCTCAATTTATTTTATAAAAAGGTGTATGGTCTTTTAGATAGAGCTATTCCAAAGAGACAAATCAAACATTCTTCCAGTAAAACCCGTTATCCACGGTGGTATTCCATAGATCTGATTCACAAAGTCAAGGAAAAGAATAAGCTTCATAAGCGTATATTGAGTAAGTGTGCTGATCCATCAGTGCAATTGCACTTTAGTGAATTAAGACAATGCATCAAGCTGCAGACCCAAGCAGAATACAACCTGTACAAGAATAATGTGGAACTTAACCTAAATTCAGATCCCAGTTCATTTTGGCAGTTTTTGCATGAAGAGAGCAAGAATCGAGGGATACCGGGGGAAATGAAATTTAATGAGAAATTGTACTCGGGTTCTGAGGATATAGCGATGGCTTTTGCTCAGCATTTTGAGTCAGTATATGAAAGACCCAAAGATGTAAGTAAATACATGGGGAATGTAAAACGGATGTGATTTTAAATTTTCAGATGTGTCAGAGTTGAAAGTGTTGTAAATAGTATTAAAAGGTTGAAGCCTAAAAAATCGACAGGGCCTGATCAGATCCCTGCCTATATTTATAAAGGATTGGCTGAGTTCATAGCTCTACCGCTCAAACATATTTTCAATCTTTCTATTGGAAGTGGACAATTTCCTGATGCCTTGAAGAATGCTCAGATTACACCTATTTTCAAGAAAGGACGAAAGGACGAAATTAGGAACTATAGACCGATTTGCCTCATTAATATTTTAGCAAAAATTTTTGAAACAATACTTTATGATGATCTTTCAGACTTTCTAAAACCTAAAATTTCTAAATACCAGCATGGATTCTTAAATGATAAGTCAACAATAACAAACCTCTCTATATTCTCGGAAATGGCGGCTGAGGCGATCGCGAATAAGAGCCAGTTGGACGTCATTTACACAGATTGTGAGAAGGCTTTTGACAGGGTGGACCATGAGTTGCTGCTTTGCAAGCTTGCTGAGTTTGGGGTGTCAGAGGATGCTTACCATCTTGTGAGGTCATACCTAATAGGCAGGGTCCAGACAGTGAGGGTCGGCGCTTGCAACTCTGAGGCGTTTGTTGCAACCTCAGGTGTCCCGCAGGGTAGTAAACTGGGCCCTCTTTTCTTTTTGTGTTTCATCAATTCATTGCCTGACTGCCTGAGGGACTCTATGGGACTTCTCTTTGCTGATGACTTCAAGCTCTGTAGGATTGTTGAGCGGCAGGAGGACTGCAGAAGGCTTCAGGGTGACATGGATAGGGTGATGGACTGGTTCAACAACAACAGAATGTCCCTAAATGTTAATAAGTGTTCTGTTGTCAGCTTTACGAGACGAACAAACCCAATAGAAGAAACATACAAGATTGGTGATACTGAGCTTGATCGTCAAACAGAGGTGAAGGATTTGGGTGTCTTTTTCCAGGCCAACATGAAGTTCAATAAGCATTTTCATCATGCTGTCAATAAAGCAGTAAAAGCACTTGGCTTTGTAATCAGGAATAGTAAGAACTTTAAAATAAGTACAATTATTAACTTGTATAATGCTCTGGTGAGACCACACCTTGAATATGCATCACACATTTGGATGCCATTGGAAGCCACGCATATTAATGAAATTGAAAAAGTGCAGAAGAGATTTTTGCGGTATCTCTATGTGGTTAAAAATAATATTTACCCATATATGGTTCCTTACAGGGATATGCTTGTTAGTTTTGAGATAAAGTCATTAGTGGAAAGAAGGAATAATCAGGCTGTGATATTTTTGTTTTATATTTTAAACAACCTAAAGTATAAGGATTGTAATTTAATTAACTATGTCTCCTTAATTGTACCAAAGATTAACTTAAGAATTATGAAAAACAAGAAATACTTTGGTACTGATCCTAGTAATAATATGTCACCATTTAATCGCATGATGACAGTTGCGAACCAAGCACTTAATGAGGTCCAGGTAGATCTTTTTAATGTAACTTTCAATCAATTGAAGGCCCTTTTAAATTAGTCATATATGTTTATATTGTGTACTCTATCTTTATTTCTGTGTTTTACACTTCGCTGTTTTAACTTTACATGTAATTACTATTTTTGGTGTTTGTAAAGTAATGAAATAAATAAATAAAGAAATAAATAAATATTGACTTTAAATCCAGATTTCTATATTTATTTTAATAATGATAGGCTAAAGGTTAGTTTTAATCTCGGTTTTAATTATCCATTGAATTTATCTTATTTTGAGTTTATTGACTTTTCAACAATCACTGAAGGCTGTGTTCATTTTTCAGTATGTGACGAATCTTTAATAATGTGCAACTAGTCACCTGGGTCTGTGCATATTCTGCTAAAAATACTTGTAGATAAATGATTCTATTGAGATCAGAAACACATTTTAATAGTGTTTTCTGTTGGTAAAACTCGTGCTGCCACCAATGCAAAAATTTATGTTCTGTTTTCGCAGCTAGTGTCCTTTAGGGCAAGGGTAGTGTCATCAGCAAAACAATAGACAATATCCTCCCCGGGGAGTCCCCGAACAATTCCCTAAATCCATTTATATAAATATGAAACAGAAGAGGTGAGAGTACTGTCCCCTGAGGCAGCACACCAGACTCCATTTGAAGTTTATCACTCTCCTGATCTCTAATGTTTGTTTCCTACCACTTACATGGGATTTGATCAGCTCATTTGTAATAGCTACCTCAAATACCATTTAAAGGATGTAGGAAAATCAGGGGTGAAACCTCGGGTACAGTGTAAAATGCCTTGTTTGAGTCTAAGATAATTGCTATTACTTTGTTACCCTGAACTAAGTTTTTTTAAATTACCTGTGAAGCCCTCACAATGCTTAAGTTCTCTGTGAAGGCAAATTTGTTTTTATGAATTAAATTGTATTTTACTTGATAGCTCGCTTGATAGTTTATTCCTCAGTTTATTCCTAAGACACTTTTCAACAATCTTGCCCTTGATCTTGCCAAAGGTGCTAGTCATTGTTTTTGGTGTATAATTCGATAGCGATAGTGACTTTTCATCCCCCTGTTTATGTAATGGAATAATTACAGTAGTTTTTAGAATGTGTATTATTAGGAAAAACCCCAGTATTGAAAATGAGATTAGTTATATGCATAAAAGAGAGCTACCTAAGGTACCTTTATATTTTTTTATTAGATTCAAATAAATATCATCCTCCCCACGCCTGACTTTATTAATCCAATATCACTTCCTCTATATCTTGATTTGAAACAGGGCTAAAAAAATGGGTGTACACTGCCCTCTTCCACACAGTTTACCACCCGAGGTTTATGCCACCCGATTGTCTTGTTTTATTTTTCCTGTCAACCTTTTTGTTACAGAAATTAGTGTTAAATTGATTTGCTATTTCCTTCTTATCTGTAAGTATTAGTATACTTGTTATACACCTAATTACTTTCTGATTTATTGTCCTGGTCATTGGTGGCCTCTTTTTTTCCAGATTTTATTATTATTTTGATCCGAGTTTTGATCAGATGCGTTTTCTTCTACTAATGTTTTTTTTTTATAAAAGTATGTACCAGGTGTTTTTTTATCTTTGATTTCATTTTGACCACCTGTAACTTTTTTGTTTTTGAAGTTTTCAAGGTAAACAAAAATACAAAATGTAGAGTTAGTAGCCAAGTTTTTTTTCCAGTTACACATGAAACAAAACACTATCAATTTTTTGACATATTAGCCTACATTATATTTTTTCAAATGGAACACCCTGTATATTATATGTGTTCGATAGAATATTTTATTCTGATTACAATGATTTAACACACTTCATATTTTAGTCCACTCGTTTTTGACAAATCAACAAAAAAATATGAAATTTTTATATACACTCTCAATAGTCTCAATAATTCTAGTCCCAGTCTGGGATAACGTCAAAAACAATAAAGTTACATGTGATCAAAATGATATCAAAGATAAAACAACACCGTACCTATTTGACATTTTCATAAGCTTACTTAAAGTTTTCATACAGTTTTGTATGTATTTATAAGTATGATGTATGTAATTTAAGGATTTGATAATGACTTGTATTACGAGTGCATTTTTTTTTTAAATAATAATAATAATAATAATAATACATATTTATTTCAAAATTGTTACAGACAGAATAATAATTGAAATTACGTCAATAAGCCTATAAAGGCAAAAAAGATATAACTAAGCATTTATCTGTATAATTGAATATGCTACTAACATTACAGCTACACAGAAAAACAAATCCCTATAAGTCACATATTCAAGAAATCATCCAAGGTATGGCTCTAGGTTTATAACCTATTTTTTGACTTCTCTTTCAAATGCAAATATACCTTCAATCTGTCTTATTTGTTGTGGCAATGCATTGAATGATATAACCTTGAATAGGTTATATTATTCAATGCACATATACTCTAGACTTCTTTGACTTAATTGGAGGCGATGTCTGGGGTAAGATTCTGCCATGGAGTTATTCCCTCGGTTATTCCTTTCAGTTCTTAGCTGTTCAAATAAATTTCTTCGTAAAAACATGAGACATTCAAATATGTACAGGGTGTCAATTTATAAAGTACTACCCTCTGTAACTTCTCTATTGTTGTTCACACA